GATTTTTGAGGAATGTTGAGGAACGTTGAGGAACGTTGAAGAACGTTGAGTAATGACCAAAATAAATTTGAGGATTGTTGACGAATGTTGAGGAACGTTGAGGAACGTTAAGGAATGACCAAAAGAAACTTGAGGATTTTTGAGGAATGTTGAGGAACGTTGAGGAACGTTGAGGAACGTTGAGGAACGTTGAGGAACGTTGAGGAACGTTGAGGAACGTTGAGGAATGACCAAAAATCGTCCAAAAATATCAACAAGTAATCCAAAATCAGTAATCAGTAGAAAAATTATCGAGATTGAAGGATATCGTGTGATGCACGATTTTATTGATGACAATAGAGCAAGATCGGATTCCCAGCAGGCGCGACTTCCTATCATTCAAATGGACCGTTTTCGCAGATTAGCGGATATTAGCGGCTAATTATTACATAATATCATTCCTGATAGTGTTCAGGAGGCAACCCAACAAAGGATTTTGTGGACACTTGTGGACTTTTTTTTATCGAGCTATTTTAACATTTTTTTGGGCGTTTTTTTAAAGCAAGCTTTGGAGGTGGTTTTGGTCCTCCTAAAAATATGCCAATGCACATTAATGATATACCAAAATGTTCCTTATAGGGAGGAGAATAAGCATGTTCAATTGAAATTTTGATTTATCTGTCACAGAACTCATGCAAAAGCGAAATAAAACCTTGAGAATTAGACGGTAAATTTGATGCCACCTGCAATGTCAGCTTTAGGCAACCCGCATGTCAAAGCGGAAGGGTTCAAAGATCCTAGAACCGTGGATACATTCATTTTGGAAGCTTAACTACTAGAAAACCAAGAAAAAATATTTAAAATCAGACTTTTTTTTTGTCACCCATGACCGACCTCTACCATTGACTCGATCCACCGTGCGCCCTCCGCAGACCACCGCAAAAGCCCCTACGGCCTCGTAGAAGTTGACAACTCCGAAAGTCCTCCGAATGATAAGTCACCTACTTCCCACCGCCGAAACTGCCCTAAAAACCCTTTTCCGCGCCTCGCCACCCATCGGAATCGACAGTACGCATCCTTTTACCTAGGAAACCGTCCGCTTTTCCTTCCTCGATCACCAGTGGCCCCCACTGCAACCCCGTCAAAACGGAGGAAAAAAAAATCGAATTTCCCCTCTCCGGCTCCGTTTTTCGACTCTGCCGGCCGACCAACCGCTCCGATCGCCACCGGACCTCCGGCATCCTGTGCGTCTTTTCCAGCCCGACATTTTCGGTCCGTATCGATTTCCCCGTCCGGCCACTCCTTAGACGTCAAATCGGCCATTTTTCGAAAAAATCCCCGATTACGGCCCAACTCGAAAGCTCCGTAGCCCCCGAAAAACGCGTCGGATGGAAAAACTATTTTTTTCTCACCTTTTCTGCTCCTCCTGACGAGAGCTACTCGGTACGGAGGGTAAAAAATAAAATAAGCGGAAAAAAAACAAGTGTCCCGAAATCCACCTCAAAATTCGAAAATCCGAAAAATCCGAAAATCCTCCCTTTTCGTGAACTAATCGTCGGAACCACATACCTTACCGTCGATTAATGTATTTCTCAATATCTCGCGAGGCCTGAAACGGTCATTCCGATGAGAATTCAACGCGTTGTATGAGGAATTTTTCTTTCCGTTTTTTTTATTTTTTTTTTGGAAGGGGGGGGAGGCGAATTATGCCCATTCTACGTAAGTCCCCAGAAAAGCGTTCCTATGTACTAACGAGTATTCTTGTCCGCGTCTCTGACCACGTCCCAGCGCTCCAATTTTTAGGTGGGTGGGTAACCCTTTTCCGATCCGTTCCCGCCACGCACCGCTCTTTCGGGCCGGACCCCCCCTCGTCTCCGACCCTGGTGAGCATCTTCCGGTACTCCGAGAGCCAATCTCCGATCCCTCAATAATTAACCTCGTCGAATCACCCCTTTTCCCCTCGATTTCCCTCCTCGGAATGCTGGGAATCATGAAATTACCCTCTCTAACCTCGCCTACACCGACATAACCAAGAGTAAAGTGAGCAAACCAGGGCTAACCTAACCTAACCAACTCGACGTTAAGCGCCCATCGGCAGAGGTTAAGCGCCCATAGGCAGAGGTTGAGCGCCCATTGGCAGAGGTTAAGCGCCCATTGACAGAGGTTAAGCGCCCATCGGCAGAGGTTAAACCCTGATTGGGAGAGGTTACTTAGTTGTCGCAGGGGTTTATACTCCCTTGACAATCACAGAGATGTGTGAATCGGACAGGATGTGGTGTGTGTGTTTTTGTTGGAGAGGAATCGACGAAATGTATTTTCATAGAGAAAGAAAAAAAGGAAGACATAAACATTAAAAAGATAAGTAAAAATTATGAATTGAAATAGACTTTCATTCGAAAAATTGATATTTATTAAAAAAAACTTGGAATTAGTGAATACACCACTGGAACTGTAAGAGGAAGATAATGTTTTTTCATTTTGAAAAATGAACTTGAATCAAATTTCCAAAAAATTAAAGATAATGAAATGAAATTTACTTTTATTTGAAGAAATTATGAAAAATTCTGGTTTCTTCAAGAGGAATTAAAATTAAATTTAATGCAGAACATTGGGAAGGAAGGGAAATTTGCTATTGAATTGGAAATTATGTAGCATAATGGTTAGTTGAAAAAGTGGAGGTTATTGATGACGTCGGCCAGGTAAAGAAAAAACTGAAGGTATCCTAAATATAAATGAAAAATAACTAATCACTCTAGCTAACAGCCTAACCTAACCTAACCTAACTCGAGGTTAAGCGCCCATCGGCAGAGGTTAAACCTTGATTGGGAGAGGTTACTCAGTTGTTGAAGAGGTTTGTACTCCCCGACGAATATAGAGATTTGTGAACCGCACAGGGTGTGGTCTGTGTGTCTTCCTTGAAGTGTATAAGATGCTGATCTGAATTGCAGAGTTCAGAAAATAAGAGTTTAAATAATATTTATTGCAAAAGATTGGTATTTTAAAGCGTCGAAAATATTTGAGACACGATATGAATGGAAAGATGAAAATAAATATTCTTTTGTGTTCGGAAAAACTGATGTGGAATTAATACTTTCCGGAGAAATTAGTTCGGACTAAAAATAAAATTAGAGAAAAGATGCGATTGTTGGAAATTTTCGCAAAATTTTGGAATTATGAAAAACTGAAAATTATTAAAGACCCAATGGAAGAGTAAAAATATTTAATAATGGAAATAGACTCATTTTTAGTTTGTTCGTAATTGAATTACCTGTGATTAGGTGAATAGACTCATTTCTGGGATATAAGTAATTTGAATATCTGGAGTTGGGTTAGTGAAGGCAGGATCATGGTCATCCAGAAACTCAAAGTATCCGAAATGTATGTGAAAAAAAACTTACTACCTACTCTAACAGCCTAACCTAACTTAACCTAACCATGTTTATTCTTGTGGTGGTCTCAAATGTTTCACGGCATTCCAATGCATGTCCTTTGCTATTCCGTGACCCTCCCTTGGAATTCCATGTAGCCACCACGTAATCTCCTGCTGCCACCATGGAATCCCATGTAGACACCACGGAAACCCACTAAGGAGTCACCATGGAGTTCCGTGTCTCACAAAATTCTCACATTGAAACGTGCTTTTTTCAACTAATCAAATCTGAGCCAATGAAAAACTGTTTTCAAGCGTTTCGTGGAAGAAAAATCGGAGTAGTTGCCAACCACTGGCAGCAGTCCTCCCTCATCTATGACCTCCACCACACGTTGCCCATAAATATAACCCGATGCTTTGTGTCCACTTTCTTGGCGTAACAATATACTCCAAGCAAACTAAGCCGTCTTAGAAATTAGAAGTTCAACATATTGCGATCAACCGAACGAATCTATGCCAAAAGAACCGTGCAAAAAATTAAATTTAAGTAATGTGCATATGAGTTGCAGGCTACATAGTTCCTTTTGATTTAATGCAGTTTTTCATTGTCCTTGATGTGAAAACTTCCATAGGTAAGTCGATCGGATACTTAAACTAGAGCGGAAAATGATCCTAGAGAAAATGGCTAAGAATCTAAAATGAGTGCACTAAGAGTTACTTACCGAGATTCATGCTTTCCTTAGTTTCTGAAACTGGACAGTCATTATTAACCACACAGAAATAACAAAATATCACTTTAACACAAACTTAGTATCTCGACCGGCTTAACGACTTAACGAGGACTTAAGTTGCTACATCATTTGTCAATGATTTGAAAAAACAAACAAACGTCATGTCGCGGAATTGGTTTGTAAACATTCAAAACCCTTACTAGATCCGAATTTTCTAAAATTGTCCGACTGACAATTACTTTAATTACTTTTAAAAAAACCGTACCTAAATGCTCCTCTGATACTTCTGCTTGCGACCACGTCACTTCCACGCGTGGGCAGCAGGTTCAAACCTGTTGAGCTTCTCCGTATTCCAATAGAAATAGAGAGGGCTCATCTGGAAAATGAGATTAATAGGTTCATGATGGACACGTAGCATCCAAAGATAATCTAAAATTAAAATAACTATGTGAGTAAGTGAATTTCAGAAAGAATCAGCGTAGAATACTGTAATTACGCAAAATCCCTTTCCCGCCCCTTATTTGAATTTCAAAATTGTTACAGGAGAGGTAATGCACCCATGTAGATTAGCAGCGTGATCTACCCCTTGAGATGCAGACTTCAGAGACCAGCTCGTAAAGGGAAAAATTCTGGAATACCGTCACAACAATTTTCTTCCATGGTTCAAAAAGACTTATGAATAGAGCAATCATGAAAAATAATATTATTTTAGGAAAAAATTGACGATCTCATTTTGCCCTATGATATTGGCCCGGCCCACTTAGCTCCACACATGTGGTTCTGGTGAACATGTGCTCACATGGGATCAGTTTGTTACATAAGTGCTTAGTGCTACATGAAGGTCCACTCCTTTGCCTGCTTTTGTTTGTGCTTGTTATTGAGAGATAGATATAGGGTAAAGAATATGAAAAAGCTTGTGATTACAGAACAATTTTTGTATATTTAATATTTTGGTTTCTCATCAAAAAGAGGAATAAATGGTTATACAGACACTTGACGTTTTGATAAAAACAAAAATATGATAGAAGATTACAAATGGGAACCGAAATGATTTTTGAATTTTCCGGTAACTAAACTAATTTTCCAGTAATATATTGAGAATACAAATTTAGGAACATTTGAGATATTTTCTTGCGCACTAACAAAATTGACCATGATTACTTCGTGGGCCAGAATTTCGCAGATCTAAACAGAAATTGTTCAAATAAGACATCAACGCAAATCAAGTGTGATCTTGTTCATTTTTCCTCCTCTTTGCCCTGTTCTGTCCGAAACAGTAGGTTTTCATTGATTTTTGAGACAGGTGTTCACATTGACGCAATTTTTTTTATTGAGTACTTTAAGTTCAGGGATATTTAAAATGACCTTTCACTGCACTATATCTTAACTTGCGTGACTCTAGGGAACAAATTGAACCTCCAAGTTCTATTACCTCCAATTTCACTTTTCTTTACGTTTCCTTTATCTAGCTAATTCATGTAATCAGAACTACGAGTGATTTCCCAGCTATAGAGTGATTAAACTTTTGCGTTTAATTTGAAAATGATACAATATTCATAAAAATACTCGCTGTGAGTACAAAGCTGTATAAAGGGCTGTTATGATTCATTCAATTTCCAGAGTTACAGTTTATCAGCATAGAATTATCCTTGATTGTGAATATAGTAAAAGCTGATTGAGAATCATTGAATAATCTTAAAAATCAAGAAATCATGACCAGGGTAACAACCGAAACTACGTACTTTTACAGAGCTTTTCAGTAATTTCCTAAGAAATTCAGAACCTCCTTGACAGGAAATTTCTGCACTTTATCAGTACCTTTAAATGAAGAAAATCACAAAATTCCGATATTCCTACACGAATAGCAACAAAAATGGCGTGGCCTCAAAACTCGAAGCTCATTGGTAGCGAGGATACACTGGCTGCACAATCGAATTCTAGCAGGAAAATACTGCAATAAGAAAAAATTTACAAGGAATTGCATACTTTCTCAGATTCTAAAAAGATACACTTGGTAAGAAGTGAAAAAGACCGGGCTTTTCTGCGAAATTCCCACTTTTACAATGCTTTTGGATCATCATTCGGTGCTATTTCTAGAATTTCCGGACAAGTAGACACCCTGATGACGGGAAATGAGAAGGTAGATTCTTCGAAAATTCTGTCTTCTAAAGAACTTGGCATGTTATGTTGAACAGCAAAACTCAGGAATAGTGAAAGCTTGACACCTGAATTTGCCATTTTTGTTTTTTCCTCAGTTATCAACCTTTTTTTTCTAAACACCTGAGTGAAAAAAAAAGTCAAACTAAACCAAATTTCCTTGCTCGTGAACAGAAATGCTCAACCCAGATGACAAACTTCCCCTCAGCCACACTTCATTACAATAGAGATGAGAGGATAGTAAGGATATGGTCAGGAGGAATATCTTTGAATCCTGGATTTTTATTATTTTTTTTTTTTACAAGCACAGTTATTCTCATCTGTCGAACCTTCCTAAATAACTTGAGTCACTAAGGTGATGAAAATGATCAAGATAAAAGCTGATTCATTAAAATTAGAGATTCAGATAAATGATACCATCCACACCTTTGTCAGCATTATTTTGCTACTTCACAACTTACAATAGCATATCTTGCATTTCTCTCAAATCGCATTAAACTATGACTATTTTTCTTTGTCTGTTCGTTTTAATTGAAATGATAGTTTTTTGGTTCATCCTTTTGGCAGGTTCATATTAGTGGCAAAAGAGGCTACTAAGAATAAGGAGACAATTGATGGATACTTCTGACAGCCAGACAGCATCCTAGCTGATTAAAAAATGGTATTTTGAGCTACAATTCTGCCAACAGACTAAAGAGAAAATTGGGTACTTAAATCGTGAGGAATTTAACTTTGTCTTTCCGGAAAAAAAAACAGGGACCTCAAAAAATTGCAGTGTATTGCGAAACTTGTTAAATCAAACTTTTCTGGTATGTTCTGAATACGAAAGGTTTCAGTGATAACTTACAAGGGATTTCAAGATTGCCGAAAGGTCTGGATAATTCTTTCATTTCCACAATTAACAGCACGTTCAAAACAGGTATTGCCATCTGCATCTTTGATACCTGGATTTGCACCATGTTTTAGCAGCAGCATCACTACATCCTCTTTTCCTTAAAGGCAAAAAAAAATCCATGAGAAAGAAGGTTTCTACTGTCAGAAAAACTGATGATACTTTGAGTAGTTTGATTCAATTATCTCTTGATTGATAAAAAGAACCTCAGTTATGATAAAAAAAGGTTAGAATGAATACAGATTCATTTCACATATGCATTATAAACGGTATAGGCTGATTAGAACCGAATGGCAAAATCCCTCCACCACCCTATCGCCTCAGGGGATAGACGACTAAGTATTGGAGAGGCATGGCCATTCAATCATGATGATAGATTTTTCTGAGTTCTTGAGAACCTGTCACCAACGAGGATTGAACCCAGTATATTAGTGCTGCCAGCAAACTGCCTAAACTGCTACAGCACAAACGCTAGCTGTATTGAGGAGGGCTCCTTTTTGTAAACAAAATTTAGCGCTTGGTTACAAAAGATTATCTAATTTATAGGCGACACTGAAAGTATGTATGTTTGTGATAATTGAGGAAAACCTAACAATTGATGTAATGATTGAATCAAGTCTTGCAAAAACCTATACGTCCATTTTTTTTCAATTTTGAGATTTTTGGGTTGATATACTCTCCGAGATTAGACACATCCATTAATGTGGTGAAAGTATTTGTTCTTTAGGATTGAACCCTTTTCGGGGACCGGGGAGGGGGGGGGATTTGGGCGAGTCAAAAAGCATCGACTTTCGAATTTAAAAAATGTATAGGGGGGAAAAACTGCGCCTAGGCATCAAACTAGAGTAAGCCAAAGCGTTCCTCGATAAAAAAAAAAAAAAATTTCTTGGGGTGCCGCTTTTGCAATTTAAGTCAAAAAATCACGTAATTCAAGCTATTTTTGCCGATTCCATCGCACTGTTTAAGCATGATAAAGATTGGCTAGGGCCCTGATTTTTGGAGTATCAACTCACTTCTAGTAGTCATTTAAGTTATGCTGATTAGTTTTTAGATCGACATATTTTTGGTGCCCCCCACATGCCCTTAAAAATGCTAAAAGCGCGATTGCGGCCGAATACGCCTCGTATATTTCAAGGATTTTATCGATTTTTTTAGGTGACTTGGCAACCACGCAAAAAGTCAATTTTCGGTTCTTACGAACTATTCATACTGGGTTATCCAAAAGTCACTGACCACCCCTGTAACTTTTTTCCAAATTGAGATAGAAGTTTGAAACATTGGGAATGTTCCTCGGTCTAAGGTAGCAACTTGTTGGTCCCCCCAAAATTTTGGGGGGTGGCCCCTCCCCCCTCAGGGGGGCGGGGGCTAACTTTTTTTTTTAAAAGCCAACCCCCCCCCTTTGTGATACCTCATTCGAAAGATAATAAAAAAAGAAAATTTTTGGCTCAAACCGCAAGTCAAAATGTTCATTTTTGATAAAATGGCGGCCGGTCAAAGTTCAAAATGGCGGAAATTTGGCATCTCCGTTGTTTATTGACGGATTGGTGTAAAACTCGGAATCCTAGCGTTTTTCGAGATGAGAAAAACGATTCTGGCATTGGGTTTTTAGAAAAGTCAGTACTTTTCAAAATGGCGGCGGTCAAAATGGCGGCCTCGAGCGGGAAGTGGATATTTAGGCTGCATATCGTTAGATTTGCAGGAAACTTGGTTTCTGGGGGTATTTCGGCGCGAGAAGAACGAATCTTTCATTGAATATCTGAAATTTTGACAAATTCCAAAATGGCGGCGGAAAAATTGCAGGAAATCAGTTTTACGGCTCTTTACCGATGCACTAGCATGAAATTATTTACTATTTCAAGAATATAATGAATGATTCCTTTTAATCCAGCCAAAAACCGCCAGGACATCGAATTTCATGCAAATCCATCGGTAAACAGCCGTAAAACTGATTTCTCGCCATTTTTCCGCCGCCATTTTCGAATTTGTCAAAATTTCAGATATCCAATGAAAGATTCGTTCTTCTCGTGCCGAAATACCCCCAGAAACCAAGTTTCCTGCAAATCCAACGATATGCAGCCTAAATATCCACTTCTCGCTCTAGGCCGCCATTTTGAAAAGGACTGACTTTTCTGAAAAACCAATGCCAGAATCGTTTTTCTCATCTCAAAAAACCCTAGGATTCCGAGTTTCACACTAATCCGTAAATAAACAACGGAGATGCCAAATTTCCGCCATTTTGAAATTTGACCGGCCGCCATTTTGTCAAAAATGAACATTTTGACCTGCGATTTGAGCCAAAAATTTTCTTTTTTATTATCTTTCGAATGAGGTATCACAAAGGGGAGGTTGCCATTTGAAAAAAAAAGTTAGCCCCCGCCCCCCAAAATTTTGGGGGGGACCAAAAAGTTGCTACCTTAGACCGCGGAACATTCCCAAAGTTTCAAACTTCTATCTACATTTGGAAAAAAGTTACAGGGGTGGTCAGTGACTTTTGGATAACCCTGTATAGATGATTGAGGGAAAATATTAGTTTTCCGAATTCGGGCGGTTTTTCCCCCGTTTGCGAGCTCAGTTAGGCCGAATTGCTCGATTTGGCCGAAATCACATCGATTTTCGCTAGTTTTTTGCACGACTTGGCAAGCCTGTAAGAAATCGAGCTTTCAATTTTCGTATACTCTATTTATAGTAGAATAAGAGAATATACTAATTATTTTGCTGGAGGATGTTTTTGTACCTCCACGGAGCCCTCACCAAGCCAGAAAAACACGATTTTTAGCGACTTTTCAGCGATTTTTCACGATGTTTTTCAGTGACTTGGCACCCACGCAAAAATTTGACCCTTTAATTTTCAGAGACTCTTTTCATGGCAGAATAAGATCCCGTAAAACGTTTTTTGTTTAGATCATTTTTTGTACCTTCTCAGAGGCAAGAAAAGTATGTCTCTTGACTCCCATTCATCACTTTGAAAACCTTAAATATTTTAACTCTTTTGTTTACGTATTTGAACTGTGATTGATACGAGAGTTCACAAAAATATTTAATTATTAAATTTTAGTGATTTAATCAATTAATTATTAAATATTATTAATTATTATTATTAGTTTTATTTAATTATTGTATTTAAATATTATTTCATTGAAGGTTTAATTTGTTACTTTACTTAATTTAAATTAAAATGAAAAATGATAAAGTAAGAAGTCTTTTAATAAATAAACGTTTAATTAGCAATAAAAATTTAATACGTAAACAAAATAGTTAAAATATTTCAGGTTTTTAAAGTGATGAATGGGAGTCAAGATACATACTTTTCTTGCCTCTGAGGGAACCTAAACAAAGGAACCTAAACAAAGATACTTTTTTGTTAATCCTCTTTTATTCTAATAAAATCATTTGTGAGATGCTCGATGGACGGGGTGAGGAAGGTGAGTACGACGGTCGATAGGCGAGGGTCGAGGGAGGGGATTTCCAACGTCCGTAAGTGGGATCGCATGAGCTGCGCGAATCAATCAGGGGTGTCGCAGTCGGGCCTTATTTCTCGATGCCAGACCTTCAAACTTCATCACACAGTTGAGAACGACTTTCAAATCATCCCTGATCTATTTTCTTAGGGAGTTATTTTAAAGAAAAGGTTGTTTTTCTTCAGAACTTCTCATTTTGATTTTTTGATTGAGATTTTTTTGCAAAAGTTTTTCGGATCAGAATGGAGGTGATTTTGCCTTACCAGCTGATACAGCTCTATGCAGAGGTGTTGCACGGCCAGCTCTGGTCTGGGAATCGATAGCAGCGCCAGCATCAATCAGCAACTCACAGACGGACAAATGCCCAGCGCGAGCAGCGTAATGCAATGCTGTATAGCCCCCCGAGTCCAATCCATCGATTGATATACCTTTCTGAAGAAGCTTTCTCACTCTATTGATGTCGCCATCCAATGCTAAACAAAATAAATAAATGTTCAATTAGCAATCGAAGTACCGTCCTGATAGTCTAGGAGGTCGCTGTCATTTTGGTGTCCCACTTCAAAATGGACACATTTTTTAAAATTGACAGACCGGACCGCTCTAATTGGAGCTGGGGCGTTCTGTTGTAGTGGGGCTGTCCTTGAAAATGTCTCATCCCGAAATGAGGCCGACAGCATTTTTCTGAAGTAAATTGCCTTTTTGATCTCAAAACACATTGATGACCTGTCTGAAACAGGAGCGTTCAGCCGCAGGCGGGCTCTAAAGGTTGCGAAAATGCCGAAAAAATGTCTCATCTTGAAATGAGGCCGACGACATTTTTCCAAGGTAACTTTTTTTCCTAATCTCAAAACCTGTTGTTGGCCTAAATAGGGCTAGTATGATACGCCGTTTGTACAAAAACCTATCTTCAGGGGGGAGAGTTGATATCTCTCGGGGGAGAGCGATTTTCGTTGGGAGAGAAACGAATTCCCGAGGGGCGGTGAAACTTTTTCAGGGGTGGAGAAACTTTTTAAGGCGAGGAGAGACTTTTTCAGGGAAGGAGCAACTATTCCGGGAGTGGAGAAGGATTTTCAGCGAGGCTCCACTCTCCCGATAAAAATTTCACCGTTACTGATCATGAATACGTTTACATCGATTATCTGGAGGTGAAATGAAGAAAATAATAAAAAATCCTTCCCTCTGCCATACGTTCGATATCGCGACTGCTCGGTGCGGAGAAGGATCTTGTCGCGAGAGAACTGCTTTCGATATATCGATTGAGTGGCGTGGAGAAACATTTCTAGGTGTAAAACCATTTTTGCGCGGCGAGAGCCATTTCGGAAGCCTCTATATCTGCAATGACTGTTGAGGTCTCAATTGTTGGAGGGGAAAAATGGAACTGTTGCCGAATTCAATTGGCAATGAGCCTCTGGGCTGAGGGTAAGAACTGGAGGCTCTAAGTACATGTTTCTCCATCAAAATTTTGCGTAAGATTCAATGGTAAAAACGGGCATTCGTGAGGTCATCTCATAAGCGAGAAATTGGCGTAAATAGAACGCGCATTTTGGAAAATCCCGCTCGCTATTGAAGAAAAATGACGTCACATCCGCAGCGCGCCTGGCGGCGGCCGACTGAGCATCAGCCGTCGGAGACACCCAACGTAGAGGTCGGGGTCGTAAACAAACGAAGATTGATAACAGGAAGGATCCAAGCATAGAATAAAAGCTACCAGAAGGGCAGTAGTCGGCCATCTTTGCTCCGATTCTTGAAATCCCCGCAACCCCCGCTCAGCTTACCGTTTCAAGTTTCGCGGGGAAATAGAGGTAAGTCCGGCCACTCTCACCCTACGTCTCTCTGCGGTTTTAAATTTCGCGGGGAAATAGAGCAAAGTCTGCTTCGAAAAAGTGACTATACTTACGCGATCTTACAGGAGGATCTGTCAGTTACCTTTCTGGTAGCTATTATTCTTTGATCCAAGCAATCTGAAATCTTTGAAATTTCATTTACTTTAATCCATTTTCGACTTCAATAAAGCATTTGACAATCATTTTCATCGTAATTTACAACCTGGAGCAACAGTCTACTGGCTCACTGTGATTTACCTTGACATTCTTATCTTGACCATACTCCTTTCATTTTCGCCTCAAATTAAATGTTTTGCAGCTTCTTTATCGAAAGTATAAGGTCCTGAATTCATTCAAGCGTTTGAAGTTTACCATTTTTTAGTATAACAGCTTTTTGACCCCTCAAACTTCTGTGATATGTTTTTATTTTGTTCAAGGTTCCTCTGACTCGGTGGCCCGAACCAAGTGATTACACATCTGAGATGTGTCTTATGGTTCTACTAATTAGCAGTTTAGAAGTATATTAGGGACTATAGTGGCTGAATCCATGCCTGCTTCTTATTCAATGTTCATTATCAGTGTTTGTTTGTATCTGACTTTTGTAAGGGACAAACACAAATACGCTTGGTACAGGTATTGCGTAGCCCTAAGGTGGTTTTGCATTTAAACGATCTCTTAGGACGGATCTGAGAAACTTTGCATCAGTACAAGGAGGTATTCACTCAGGAATTGCACACATACTTCAGTTGACTTCATGAATTCCCGTTTTTACCATTGAATCTTACGCAAAATTCTGATGAAGAAACATGTACTTAAAGCCTCCAGTTCTTACCCTCAGTCCAAAGGCAACAATTCATCAACAGTTCAATGGTGAATTTGGCAACAGTTTAATTTTTCCGCTCCAACAATTGAGAGCTCAACAGTCATCGCAGATATAGAGGCTTCCGAAACGGCTCTCGCCGCACAAAAATGGTTTTACACCTAGAAATGTTTCTCCCCGCCACTCAATTGATATGTCGAAAGCAAATCTCCGGCAGCAAGATCCTTCTCCGCACCAAGCAGTCGCGATATCGAACGTAGGGCGGAGGGAAGGATTTCTTATTTTCTGCATTTCACCTCCAAATAATCGATAAATTCACAATCTGAATTCGTTTCTCTCCCAGCGAAAATCGCCCTCCCCCCTCCACCCTGAAGGTAGGTTTTCGTACAAACGGCGTTCCATAGGGCTAGGCGTATCGATTTGACTATGAACACGACAATGCTAAAATGAAAATTAGTTACCAGCAGACCAGATGCCTCGTTCAAAGTCCATTTCATCCAGAGTCTGACAAACTGAATTTGAAACCTCATTGTGATTACAGCAGCGATGTTCAGGCATCATGTTTGCGGATGTAAAAATCCTCTTACTGATAAGTTTCCTCCTACATTTAATGAAAAATCAATTGAGGTTAAGAGGTATATCATGGGAGTAAATAATAATGTTTTTTTTTGCATAAATGCAGCCCGATGCTTTCACACAACTCAAGGACAGATTTAATGGAGCAGAAACTGTTTACTCAAATAGGGAAATTTTTACATTATTGTCAATTTTCTTCGGAATTGTGTTCTTGTGCAGAGTGCCTAAGACCATCTGTTCCAGGCTTCTTTATCGGATATTTAGGTAAAAAGGGATTGCTGACTGGTGGAAAGAAATCGATCCCCGGAAATCCAAATTTCATGGTCTCAGAGCTCCACTAACCTCCCTTGGGGAGAAATGGGGGATGCTCCACCTGAAATTCAGGGGTTCAATAAAAATGTAGAAATTGTCTATTTAAAATTTAAAACCTTAAAGAACTCGTCCTGCAACAGTGCCAAACAGTCAAAAATCCACCATACCTATTCCAAAGTTAAAGGTGAGAGATATAAAAAATGTATGAACTTTGACGACTATTTTCGTGAAAAAGGAGGGGTTGCGATTCGGGCCGAAATCGGCCGTTCCACAGAATCCGGAAATGGACCAATAGACAAGGTACGAATTTAAGCATTCCAATACATGTTTCTTGATCAGATTTTCACGTAGAACACGATTCGCGCAACGAAAATTACCGAAATCAACTCCTAACAAAGATATTGACGTTTATATTTCACATTGGCTACGAGGAGTTTGAACTGCCCGCTCACAAGAAACTCAACGCTCTACGCGAGTCAAATCGTGCACTACTACGGTTTCAGCAAGCTTCTCAATCAAGCAATGTTCATTTCCCACCATGTGCTGTTCAAACTATAAGCAACTTGCAATAGCTGAGCTAAAGCGTCAAGATTAAGGTTGCCAGATTTTTATATCGCAGAGACTGTCATGATAAAGTTTAGCGCGATGTGAATCACGTAGAGCATTGAGTTATAATGAGCGCGTGGTTTGAATTTACGCATCAAGAATCATTAAATATCTTCATAACGAGTTGATTTCGGTGATTTTCGTTGTGCGCATCGTGTTCTACGTGAAATTTTGGTTATGAAACGTGTATCAGAATGCTGAAATTTGTGCCTTGTCTACTGGTCCATTGTTGGATTTTTGGCAGTTGACAATATACTTTACAGAAATAGTCAGCTTTTGCCGATACTCACACTTTTTGGCTACGGGACAGGGTTTTAAACATGGCTCCGGAGTCCAAAATAGCTGAAAATTCCCCTTCTTCGCGGTTCTACCTCAGATTTCCACCTGGGCCCAAAGCGGTAACTTCGAAAGGTACCATACAGGGCCCAAAGGTATCATAAGCTTCGAATATGATGTGAGGAGCACCCAGAGAAGTAACAAACGAGATCAGAATATGATCAACCGTCGCCTGTGGGCTTATAAGGAAGAACCGTGGAAAACATGGATTTTCAGCTATTTTAGGCTAAATGTTCGACACTGGACTTGAGCTCAAAGGCAACGGTTGATCATATTCTCGTATGTTATGTCTCTAGGTGTCCATCACAACATTTTCGAGGCTTATGAACAATCACCTTTGGGCCCAGGTCAAAATCTGGGGTAGAATCGCGGAAAACGGGAATTTTCAGCTATTTTCAGCTGAAAAGTTCGACATTCGACTTTGGCCCAAGAAAGACGGTTGACCATATTCTCGTATGTTACATGTCCAGGTGTACCTCACAATATATTCGAAACTTATGACCCGTCACCTTTGTTCCCAGGTCGTTTGAGGTAGAACCGCGAAAAACGGGAATTTTCAGCTAATTGGGGCTCCAGAGCCATGTTTAGACCCGTTTTTCGGAGCTAAAAAATGTGAATATCGGCAAAACCTGCATATTTATGTAAAATATGGATTGTCAACTGCCAAATATTAAACAATTTCCCGATTCCGTGGAAGGATCACAACCCCTCCTTTCCTTAAGGGTGGCAGGTATTACGACATCCACCTTACATGTGATTATTTTTTTTTACCCAGATAGGTCATCATGGTCTTCTTATATTTTAGCAGAAAGACTTACTAAGCCCACGGTATTTGGAAGAAAGACTGAACGATGTGTATTTTTTCCACGAGGAGAAAAGTGAAAGGCGGAGAAGGAGATAAGGAGGGAGAAACAGAACATTATGGGGCAGAATTCAATGTAGGGTTTGAGATAATGGGAGCCAACGTGTTTCTAATGTTCCACAGTGGCAGTATACAAGGGCAGAGGTTGACAGTCGCTTACTACCTAAACTGAGAGAGTGCAATGTGCATCCACCTACTTACAGAGGTACGTCAGGAAATCGCAGCTCTCTGATTTTCCACATCTCCCATGAGATAAGAGAAAGAAGGAGTGAAAATTGTCAGCAACCATGACTCATGATCTCTTTATGAAAGAACAGTCACCTATTAAAAAAGTGTAGAAAAAGAGAGAGCACAAGAATACAGGAAGAAATTACTTGGTAAGTGCAAAATAATTGGTAACTTCCAAAGAGATTTCAAATCTCTTGGCTATAAAGTCCAGCTCGTCCTTATCCAAGGCAAAGAGAAATTTTTCAGGTGCGTGGAGCAAGGTTTTAAAAATCACATTTTCTTCCAACATTCTTTAGGGAGAATCTGGAACAAAATAAATAATCATACGTCATTGACCGTATCAATGGCTGACAAAAAGTTTAAGTACTATATAATGGCCCTTCACAACATTCCTAGCAAAATTTGGTCATGAAAAAAAAGCCTACCTCGAAAATGTGTTACAGGCAGAGGGTTGTAAGAGGGAACTCTGATTTTAAGGAATATGTATTTCAGAGTTACAGCTATTTCTTACACTTTTGTTTTATGTATTGTGAGGGGACGTCCAATTTTCCCAGACAATTCATCATCAGACGGGGAAATTGGCAACGTCAGGAGGAGCACCGACTTTAGGGAAAATGCTGATGTCCGCTGGGAAATGCGCATGCGCGCCGCCGGCCGACCCGAGCGTAGGGAGCTGGCCCACTTGCTCCGACGCTCGAGGAAAGCCAGTCTTCGCTACACGGTCGTCTGGTGCTTGTGCTGAGGGCTCCGGAAGAAAAACTAACTTTATCTGATATTACTGCCTGTTACCGAGCAAAAGTAAATGTATTATGGTAGGACGCAGTCCCAACTTTCTTAATATATTCGTTTTAGGCATTTAAAATACGTTTCGAAGAAGAAATGTGGAAAAATCAAGAGGACAAGTTCAAATCAAATTTCCGTTTGCCGCCATGGATTCCCGCGCTCATTTACACACTCACACAAGCACCCAGCGCCAAACCAGGCTTCATTTTTTCCCCGTGCTTTTAGATACGAGCACTCCATCTTTATGTCTTTGGTTGTGGCAGTGTTTGTGTAGGGTGTTCGCGTACAGCCGACGGGTTTTCTACGAAAAAAATTCTTACCGTGATTTAGTCCTCGGTTCCGCTCCTATCCAACTCCACCAGCTTGTTCGGTTGCTCCTCGAAGTATTTTTCATTGCTATTAATACATTTCCGCATCATTTCCTCCCATTTAACAAGCATCGTCTTGTGATATTATTTTTCAGGAACGCTCTTGAAAATTTTTTGGACGGCCGTCCTCATTTCGGGTTTTGTGGCAAATCTCAGACCGCGAAGAGCTTTTTCAGCGTCAGAAACAGCCAGCGACATTTGGACTGCACGGAGGATGCCTAAAAAGCCGACTCCTTTTCTCTCTAAAACTTCCTGCGTAAAAATGGATGCATGCGCCTGCGCATTGTCTTGATGCAAATCCACGAATTTATTACCAATTCCTTTCCCAGATAGCACCGAAAGTCCTGAGAACATCCTGACTGATGAACGACACTATCTGGCACTGTGGGAATATTCTCAGAACGTTCAGAGAAGATTTGAAAATGTGGAATTAGTTTGGACATGTACCTAGAACATTCTCAGGACGTTCCAAAGTTTTGAATCTTGGAGGACGATTACGTGCAACCAGAAAAGGTTTTTCATGCGTTACTTTAACTAAATCATTTTATTTTTTATTTTAAGGTGAATCTACACCCAGTAGTTGGGAAAGGACCCTACAACAAAACGGCCAAATCGGCCTAAACACGGAATCGTACGATTTTCTCAGGGATGATGGAGGGTCTTCCCAGACACTCAAAACTGGTCATATTTTTTGCCTAACCCCCAGGGAAAAGGGGGAAGAGGGGGTCAAAGTCAAAACTTTTAAATTAGCATAACTTCTCAACGGTTTGTCGTAGAAAGATGATCTTGGTGTCAAAATTTCCAGAAAAATGAGAGGTTTCAGAATATATGTATGAAATTAATTAAATTTTAAAATTTGACCCACTTTTAGGGCATTTTACAAGGTCCCCCTTTCGTAAATTTTCGTTTTTTGAGATTTTCGGTTGTTCGGTTCGCACGGATCAAAACAAAAACAATTTCAAATAAAAGTAGAACGTTTAAGCTTTAAAAGAAGCCCAAGAAACCTTGTATGTTCCGAGTCTCAAGGTCACCTGCGCGCTCCGGATTGCCTCCAGGTTGCAAGTTTTTGTGTTTTTATGCTTCTGTAGGTCATTTTTAATGTAAATCATTCAATGAAGATAGTTTAATTAGAATTTTTTAATTTTACACAATGGGCCTTCGGCGAGGCACACCACATTAACGTCAAAAAATTTTAACTGCGTTTCAAATAGCCCCCTCAAGAATAACTGAGACTTGTTTTGAAGCTCAAAGCTCGTCTGCTTCAACGAGAAACTATTTGGCTTTACCAAGTGAGTTCCGTCAAGCGCTGTAGCTTATAGCTCAATTAAAAAATTTTAAAATTAGGGGTACCCCAAAATGTGGCATCAATGGGTTATAATTTCTAAATGGTTCAGTTCTGTATGGATCATACGTATATTTGAACTGAGGGTCCATGGTTTCCTCTAAATTATAAGAGCAGAATCGTCATCGTCAGCAAATGTTTAATGAGGTATGATGGACATAATGGTTGATACTCTAAGCCCCCTCTCGCTCCTCCCGTAAAATTAAAAAATTTCGATTATTCTATCTTCATTGAATGATTTACATTAAAAATGACCTACAGAAGCATAAAAACACAAAAACTTGCAACCTGCAGGCAATCCGGGGCGCGCAGGTGACCTTGAGACTCGGAACATACAAGGTTCCCGCGCGCCGCGTCAACTTTGAAGACTCATAACTCCGCTTCTAATCATTTCCCCAAGATGATCTTGGGCTTCTTTTAAAGCTTAAACGCTCTACTTTTATTTGAAATTGTTTTTGTTTTGATCCGTGCGAACCGAACAACCGAAATTCTCAAAAAACGAAAATTTACGAAAGGGGGACCTTGTAAAATGCCCAAAAGTGGGTCAAATTTTAAAATTTAATTGATTTCATACATATATTCTGAAACCTCTCATTTTTCTGGAAATTTTGACACCAAGATCATCTTTCTACGACAAACCGTTGAGAAGTTATGCTAATTTAAAGGTTTTGACTTTGACCCCCTCTCCCCCCTTTTCCCAGGGAGTTAGGCAAAAAATATGACCAGTTTTGAGTGTCTGGGAAGACCCTCTATCATCCCTGAGAAAATCGTACGATTCCGTGTTTCGGCCGATTTGGCAGTTTTGTTGTAGGGTCCTTTACCGTCAAGAGATAGCGGCACCGTCGATTTTCAGGGGGGAACCGTTCTGATGAGGATATTTTTGAAAATATAGCGAATATTATAAAAAATCGACGGAATACGCGTAGATAATTTTTTTCTTGAATGGTTGACGTATAAATCATTGAAATCCGTGATGTTTAGCGAGCGAAATTATGCAGACCGTTTTCGGACACTTGCAAAACGGCAACGCTGCCGTCTTGGTGATATGTTTACACTCCGGTTCCAACCTACAATACAAACATGTATTTTTGATAGTCCACAAAATTTTAACTTGATTAATTACAATTGTGTCGTGGAAGTAGTCTTAGATTGTTAATTTATCGAAAATAAGTTATTATGCTACAGTTCTTTTCCTGGTGGCTCAGTTCAGTCTGGTTCAGTCCACGTTTTGACCATTCGGTACCTCTATTGTCACCGTGCAACCTGTCCATCAGTTGGCATAATGAAGAAAATATGTTTTGAGGTAAGTTGATATCTGCTTTTCCACCTAAAACTTGGCTCATGGTTACATAATTCCACATACTCTGATAACATTTCAGTTGGAATCTCTAAGGACGAACGAGTTATACCATTGACATTGCCCCTAAATCTGGAAGTTGAATTCCATCGATCGAAGCTGCTGTTTTGACCTGAACACACGTCTATTTTTGTTGCCATGTGTTTATGTTACTGTTTTTTTTACACAAATTAGAATTCACACTTAACCCTGTACTAAAAAATACAGTGTAGGGTGAATAATTCATGATCTTAATCCAAACAAGGAAATCATCCGTTGATGAGATGAACCCTTCTGGCAGTGCTTATCTGGAGAGTAAAGCATAACGCCTGAGGCTCAAAGGGCTTGAGGGTGTTGGACAGTAAACCCCGTAGTATCCATGAAACTGCAATTTCATGGTTAAACTCCCAGAGCACGTTTCTCTGTTTGCGACGTAGCAGACTTCCTGTCATACTTTATTTCTTAACTGGAAAACTATTCAGTGTCACTTCTTGAAAATTTCTGTGACTTTTCTCTTCTGCGCAAAGAAAATTCTGTGAAAACCTCAAAGAATGACATTGATTTTTTCTCCTCATTAAAAATAAAGTGGGAGCAGAGATTTTTAAACACTGCAAACGAGATAGGTGCTTTGGGAGTTTCATCGTCGAAATGTTCCTATCCAGACTAGAACTGTCATGTGACAAAGCACTATCAGCATCTAGCACCTGCACCTTTCGTAATCTGTTTCTGTGCTACTAGCAATTGACCCATCGTACTTTTCTCACAACTGAGGTTCTGCATGTACGAAAGAATTTCCAGTAAAGATTGAAGAGAAATTATGTGCCTGTGAGGCGTGCCTGTGGCTCTTGGTTCCTAAATTATTTATTAGTACCTAGGCATTGTTGATTGCCGCATAACCTAAGCATGACCAATTATCACCTTGGAAGAGCATTTCATCAAATTGAGCTTAGGGACCAAGATATGAAAATAAGAGCACCAAGGGCTCAGGCAAGCCAGTTTAGTTTCTCAGATTTCGTTCTTACTTGTTGTGCTGGGTCATTATCGCTCAAACAAACTGGAGCGTATTAAACGGTATGTTTGTTTCTTCCAAGGGAACAATTATTGAGAAAAATCATGTAACATTGCAAGAACCTACATTTTGGGAGCTTGTCAGATCCAATCTCAAATAAATATGTGTTAATAAATTAAAGATTTCAATTGTTGTGTTCGATCAGAGCAGGAAAACAAAGAAGATAATAAAAGTATGATTTCAGATGTCTATTTTTCCTCACTTTAAAAATTTGCTGGAATGAGGTAGTTACAAATAAATGGTTGGCGACTAGGTTTAGCTAAATGTCCCTCTGTGCCTGTTTTCCACATAAGACGGGGCAAAAACTATATTTTTCAGTTTCAAGAGAGCTCTTCAAAAATTCTAATTCTAACGATAAAATCTCCTGCATCAACAATGGAGAAGTTACACAGATCTATATGTATATTTGAAGATAGAAAACTGCAATTTTATGAAATTTCATTCTAGATGAACAGCCTGAAATCTAGGGAATTTTTTTTTCAACAGATAAAATTTGTACATCAAGTGTAAATAGAATCTGAGAGCTGAGGGGTCACCACCTCTTTGAATTGACCCATTATACAATTCAAATGCATGGGATACAGGATAATGCTGTTTAATTGTCTGTTTTCAGTTTTTTGGAGCGCTTCCTACACCTCAGCCTGCTCCTCTTTATTCTGGATTCAGAAAGTGGCTACTATCCTATGACATGGCTGTCAGTTTCTCATTTGAGCAGTCAAGCGATAGGAAATTAGCAGCAACTAAAAATCATCTGGTTTTGAGAACTTCACCATGAGTCACCTCAAAACAAAATCATCACAAGAAGTTGTAGTGTGTTCAGAGTAAATAAACATATACCTAGTTCTCCTAAATTTTTCATCTGTGACCAGAAATTATCTAAGAAATTTAAAGTGGCGTGAAGTTCGAATAGCCACCCCTTACATTCATTCCTCTAATTCTAAATGAGAAAATAAATGAAAGTGAAAGTGCTGTGTTTAAAGTATCCTAAGTACCTTCATTGGTGTTTTTTGCGCTCCTTTTAAAGTTGAGGAAAAATTATGTGTTTCTAAAGCTTTTATTAATGGCTGTTTACTTGAAAACTATGTTAAATGTGGTTTTAGCCCCCCCCCCTCCCCCCCTCGGCCACCATTTATCTGCAGAATATTAACAATCTCTAGAAATTAAACTATAATTATGATGCTATTTCTTCACTGTCTTCTTTTTTTTCCCCCTTTAGAGTTATGTTTAATTTAGGTGGAAATGATGCCAATGATATTGATCAAGTGTTACCTTCTTTGTGACAATTTATATTGTTCCTTTTTTTCTTTCTTATTCTTATTCTAATATGTTTCTAGTTTCACTGTTACCAATACCAAGTTAAGATAAAGAGCATTAACTCGCTGTGATCATTGTTTCTTTTTAAATTGACATAGCATTAATGCTTGTTTATGGCTATTAAGTTGAAAACCATGTTTATTTCGGTAATGCTCCCCTTCCCCTCCACTTTTTCACTGGAAACGGAACTGACGTCATTTCTGCTCTTAATTTTCTTTTTTAAAGTATTTTTGGAGGTAACCATCTAGTATTCATCAAGTATTTTCTCTTCCAAGTAATATTTTAATAATGAGTACTGAGTTTAATATCTAAAACACTGTTCAATGATGTAAGCCTTCATTTTCTTTGATACACATCTTCTGTTTACGTTCTAAATTTTATGCTTTATTATTTTAGTGTTTCATTAGTTATACCTTTCTGTAATTTTATAAAAAAACTAACTTTCAATTTGTTTCCCATGATAACACTGTGTCATGGAAACTTTTTATTCAATTCTCATGCTTTTAAGGAAAAAGGCATAATTAGAAAATATGTTTATCATTGAATTACGATCTAGACCTTCAACCATCTTTTGCAGAATTTGCTCTAAAGTAATTTGATTAGATTAGATAGGAGCAATGACACTGTACTTTTTCGACGAGTGATTGTAAATAAATTTCAGTGATTATTTCAACCACCTCTTGCTCAATTGTTTCCACCAGGCGTTGAATGTGTTTTGCCGCATGCATTGCTGGTTTTGGCTAGAAATCATGCATAACCTGGCTATTTCTGGAAGCATTCAAATTCATCTCAACCATTTTCTGTAGGTATCAGTTTTGCAGGTTAAAACAATGCATAAACGTCTAAGGAAATCTTATATCGCAGCAATAGCGCCTCGTGGAGATAATAAAGCCTATTTCTTGACTAATAGTGTTCAAATTAGTGAAAAACCTCAAGTGACTCATCACTCGGGGTTCCAGCACTGACAATTGCCTTCCCCCCCCCCCCAAAAAAAAAAGAAAAAAAAATTGTAGTGCAGTGTAGAGTACAGAGAATTCCTTATTCAATGTCCTGAGAACGTTCTTTCATCCAATATTCCAGGAACGTTCTTAGAAGATCCAAATGTCCTACCTTTTCCCATTCACTCATTCCTAGGACGTTCTGAGAACGTTCCGAAAACATTGTGGGGACGTTCTAAGAATGTTCCGGTTTTTTCAATGAATGTTCTGAGAACGTTCCAGGAACATCTGGGTGCTATCTGGGTTCGAACATCGTCCGTCTTTTCTCGTTACTATGCTAACACCAGAAGTTGGACGACGATTGTACGGTATTACTAAGTTGTCATTGGTATTGACAAGTAGTTTCAGATGAAAAAACGTGTGGTGGCCAATCACCGCTCACCTCTGGCGACGCAGCCCATGCTCGCTCTTGATTACACGGAAAAAAAAGATTTCCTGAATTTAAGTAAACGCGTCTACTTGGATTTTTTACTTATTTCAAAACGGGTTTGACTTGGAAGAAACTAACGGTTTTCTTAAGTAAAATAAACGTTGTTTTAAAATAAGCCAACTTTTGCTTGAATGAAGAAACCAGTTTCTTCAAAACTAGTAAACGGCGTGAACGCCTTCCGAGTCCGGCCGTTGCCTCTTCTTAAGTCAACAGCTTGCTTGATAAAGTAAAACGCGTTGCGTCAAAAGAAGATACCAGTTTTCTTAAAATTAGGAAACGGGGCTAACTCCTTTCGAGGCGACCGGATGCAATTAGCAATACACCCGTTGATTTTTTTCAATTCAACAGCTTGCTTGGTACAGTGAAACACGTTGCGTTGAAAGAAAAAACCAGTTTCCTCAAAATTAGTAAACGGGGCAAATGCCCTCAGCGGGGGAGGATGCAATAAGCCAGATGCTGTTGCCTTATTTTAACCCAACAGCTCGCTTGGTAACAAAAAACACGTTGTGTCGAAAGAAGAAACCTGTTTCCTTGAAATTAGTAAACGGGGTGAACACCTTCAGTGGAGCATGATACAATTAGCTAGTCGTTGTTGCCTTTTAATAACCCAACAGCTTGTTTGATGAAAGAAAACACGCTACGTCAAAAGAAGAAACCAGTTACCTTAAAAGTAGTAAACGGAGTGAGTCCCTTCCGCGGGGAACGGATGCGGCATGGGACATGTGCGGTTGCCTACTTTCAATACAACATTTTGCTTCTAAGAAGAAACCAGCTCCCTTAAAATTAGTAAACCGGATGGTGATGCCTCTTATGAGAATGATGCATGCAATTGCTGCCAGATGCATGCCGTTAGCATCTGCTTAAACCAACACCATTTATGACGGAATAAAAGGAGACGGAAGTTAAAAAATCAAGATGCCCATTATAATTGTCTACAAAATAATTGTTATTTAGGGAGAAATTCATTCAATGTGTCCTTTGAGAAATCACTCATATGCTCGGCGTCGACAAAAAATTAAATAAATAAAGAAGTAAAGAAGGAGAAGAAGAGGAAAATATTTGCATTGTTTTAAATGGATCGGCATTCTGCATTTGAAGTTTTAATTTTTATTTTTAAGTGAAGGGGGCCTCATTAAGAGGACTTAATACTTGCATCAGTTCAGTTTCATCGAACAATGTATTTCTTCACACTAAACAATCGCATTTTTTTTTTATTTTCTTCCTTACTTTTCCTGTCCTGATGAATGGAAGATCCCTCGCAGATAGAATTAAAAAGTGTCAAATAAAAGGTATGCTTATGCCAAGGGCCGAGGAAGGAATTAAAAAATGTGGAGAGAATCATACTTTTCAGCATTTTACCCACCAAGTTGACAGATAAAGATAATCGAATAACTCTGCTGCTACGTAGTGTATACACTGTTCAATATCGATTTGCCGGGTCCCTTTGATTTATGGACGTGACGATGGAGTGGATCGAAAAAAATAAAGTTTTTTCTGTATTTTCGAAAGGAATTTGCAAGTGCAAAATTGTTGATATTTAAAACTTTGATTCATTGGTGTCCGGGGAAATTTTGGGTCGAAGGGCCTGTTGGGACCGATCTCCCCCTCCCTTCCTCAGTCTTGTACGGATACTCATAAGAGCTCAACATGTTTTACCGTAATTGAAGTATTTAAACCTTTTCACCTTGTTTCCCTGCAAAATAGGGTGGATCCATCCAGCACTTCTTTACCACCTTCCTATCAACTTTAGAGAGTGTAACGAAAAGGAAGTGCAGCTATACAATAAAACATTAGAACGTCACGCGTGTGATTATGTAAACTGAGTAAAATATAAAAGTAATCGAAGATTGAACTTTTTTTATGAATAAATTGTGACTGTCCACGGAAAAAGATGCCTTAATCCAAAAAATCTCAAACCTTAATTTTCAAATCTTATATTTTAAAGTAAGGAATTAGAACTATTAATGTTTCTTTTAAAGTGCTCACATTCTTTCTTTTCCGCCCGATGTGAATTAATTAATTAGAACTATTGAATAGAACTATTAATATTCTAATTGAAATAGAAAAGTCTAATAAATGGTCCAGAATATTCTTGAATATTATAGTCGAATTGAATAGGACTTTTAATATTTAAAAAAATGTAACAATCTCAGTCATCAAAAATAAAAAGTTATTATGTTACAAAAATTTTCGAAGAGTTTCATTCTTTATTCGTATTTTTTAAAGTCAGCGATTCTTCAAGAAAAATGAAGAGAGAAAATTTTAAAAAAGGTGAATTGTATTAAATTCTTTTTAAAAAGATTAAAAATTAATATAAGATGGGAAAGAAAAAAATATAAACGTGAAAAAAGTGACGACAGTAACACGCGTATTTCTTATTTGCTCCAAATTCATCTTTTCGAGTTCAAAAAATCTTAACCCATCAGGTCTCACGCATATTCACTATCACAATAATGGTGAGAGCCTAAGTCAATGACTTATATAGTGTAAATTCGGCCAACTGAGACATAAGCCCCGATGGCTAAGTAGGTAGGGTGTTAGGTTCGTAAACTGTAGATCCCAGGTTCAAATCCCGATAGGTAGGCCAAAATTTGCAAGTCGGTACTTGCCATGTCGAATCTTCGATACTTGCAGATACATACAATTCTATAATTTTTTTCATCAAAAATTCGATAAATTAATCCATTTTTTACAATTATTGATTAATAATAATACATATGGTATGGGTGCAGTGTGCATACCTGCAATGACTATTAACTAAATTTAAAACAACAATTGGGTAGAAATAAGTAAACGCGTCTGAGAGTTATGCAACATCCATTCTTGCCGGGCGTCCCCGTTTACTAATTCTAAGACAACAGTTGGTTTCAATAAAATAAACGCGCATTCCCGTCCAACACGCCGTTTACTAATTTTAAACCAACCATTAATTTGAAGCCAGTAAATGCACGTGGGAGTTACGCAACCGTTTCCTATTTCTAAGTAAACAGTTTACCTAGATCAATACGACAGATACTCACTTCAAACCTACGATAATTTCTTAAATTTAGGAAATACTTTCACGGCATGGAATGTTTCCTTTTTTCAAGTAAACGCTTTCTTTTTTTAAGAGAACGTGGAGCGTTGGCTTGAGAAAACGCTATTTCTTGATCCAAGGTAACTCCGATGTCTTAGTTCAAACTTCCGTTTCTTGTCGATACTTTTTAAGTATCCGGTTTACTTGGTCTAAGACGGCTCCGCCTTGTATTTAGGAAACATTTTTTTCAGTGTAGCCGATGCAGTCTCAACCACGGCTATATATGTTGTGACCTCACCACCTCCAGGCACTCCGCTCCCGTCAACCACAAGGACCACATTACTCGTCCAGCGGACATCATGCAGCCGGCCGGCTTGCCCCATTCCATCGGCCCTGTTTAGGGCCACTACTCTAGAGCACCTCCTCTGGTCTTTGGCCGTAGACGCATTGGAAACGTTTTAAAGACGAGAAGGGAAGAATAAAAAGTATAAACTGTTGAAAATCCGTGGGCAGCACGCAAGTACCCTTCACAAAAACTGTTATAACTTCGTCAATTTTTGTCCGAATGGAGTGATATTGATTTTAATCAATAGAAGATGATTAGATCTCTAAAATGAGACCAAGAACACATTTCTAGTTAGTTCCTTTTGAAATGACAGCACTAGTCTACTTACTTTTGGGACACCCTGATATATCAGATTGCTTGAATGGATACCTTGTCCAGTGGTCCATTCAGACGGTATTCATATCCATAATCCATGACCAATGATTCATATACATGATCATGATCTGCAGGGGTGCAGAATCTTCCACGTTTCCACGTTCTCACACGTCCGGCCGCCGGCTTCCCACATTATCCCTCCTATTTCATCAGAAAGGACCTCTTTCTTTCTTGTCAAAAAATTGACCGCCAAATTTAACGAGTACAAAGCGCTTACTGTGCAACTCTCGCAGTGCTTTGTGCAATGCTTCCAGATGTTATTTTATCACATTAGTTAAATGGTTAAATGAAAAACATTACTTGATATTAATAATGAGAAAGGCGGATTAACTTTATTAAGATTTCGAAACTAGAAATTGGTAGAAACTGTTGCAAGGCTTTGAGGCTTAGAGCACAAAAGAATAGAAAATACGTGAAAAAGCGCAAATTTTGAAAATATGTATGACGTGAGCGGCATTGTCCCTCCACTTTTCACTGTTTTTCAGTCAGTGAGAAAAGTATAGAGAGGTTTCCACAATATCAGGCTGAAATTTGGACTACTATAAACTACTGAAAAACTGCTAGAAACGTAGGAAAGGCGTGAATAACTTTCATCCAGTAGGAGGAAATGTGGAAAAGTTCGGAAAAAGATGGAATGGTTTCCACAGTTTCAGGTTGAAATATGTAAAAACTACTAAAAACGTGGGAGAGGAGTGAAAAAAGCGCAAGTTGTGTAAGGTTGCTAAGAATAATACACTTTTCTGGGTTCTTCCACATTTTGCATCATCTTTCCACATTTTTTCACTGACTTTCATCCAGTTGGCGAAAATAAGGAAAAGCTACCTTATTTATGTGGAAAGCAAAGAAATCTTCAAATCTTTTCCCGGTTAAGAAACGGTAAATTCATCAGAAGTGGAAGCAAGAGACGCTCAGTCAATCGAAAAGAGCCAACCACTACTTCCCTCTCCATGAATAGTTTGATATTCTCCGCGAATCGCGTCATGTGAGTCATCCGCTACACTGCGCTAGTATCACGGATCTCTCCGCGGACTGATACGAAGACGTGCAACATTTTTAATCCTTAAAAACAACTTCTACCTTTAATTTTGGGTCTTTCCAAGGAATCAGGACCGTTCCACATTTTCTGCACCCCTGCATGCTCTGTAGTTCAAGTCTGCCATCGGTTAGAAAAGCCGTAATTTTTTTCCTTTAGGAAATACGCAAATATGGAAGGACGAAAGACACAAATGCAGAGGAGATAAATTTTTTTCTTGTGATGATCAAAGAGTACTCATTAAAATACTTGAATGGTTCAAAGAGTGAGTCTTCCATTGCTGCAGTTTAATTTTTCAACCTATTTTCAAAAGTTTTAGATACAAGGAAAAAAGAGTTGACAGAAAAATTGGGGGAATAGAAGTTGCGATGGACTCAAATCGATTCAATCCTGAAACCTACCATCAGCGGAGATCAGATCTGGATCAGCAAGAGCCCTTCTCATAGTCCATATATGCGTTATGTGAGCAGGGTCAGGCCCCAATGTTGAGGATGACGTTACAACTTGGTAACCCAATACTTCTAAGGCAGACAACATAACACAGACATGCTCTCGAAACAAAACTGTAAACTCATCAATTTGAGAGATTGATCTGAACTCAGCCAGCTGTTCAATGTCCTGACCTGCTGGAAAAAAAAATGTTATCAGCGTAGTAGGAACAAAAAAAAACGGATCGATCATATTGTAAAAATAATTTAAAAAAATCATAGATACAAAGACAAAGAGTTCAATGGATGACGGTGCCTATGAGGGAAGCCATTCAAGGACTCACCTGCACTCTACAGAATTTACATTCATTTACATAAAACACATTTAAGTAATTTTTGTACGTGTGGTCAACGTTAATACCTGGTATATTGATCAAGTTCAGCATTGGTCTTTCGGGGATCAACAAAATGGACCAACTACTCCCTGAGCAGTTGATCCAGAGTAGATGTTTCGGGATTATGTGCAATTAGCACTCAACCAAGTATGCGTGCGAAATCGCAAATATCGTCATAAAAGGTTGAAATATCAATTTTTAGGTGAGGTTAAGTTAGATTAGGATATGCTATTTTTCGGGCTAATTGATGGGATCAACAAACCCAGGTATGCATACGAGTATCGTGTATGGCTGGTTGGTGAATATGTTAAGGGCTGGTGGTGTATGTAATTCGGCCAATGACGGCATGGGCCGACCAAAGATGTCATTGGCCGGCCTTTTTGGCCAATGACAATTTAAGTTGTAATATTTCGTGTTGAGCCAACATTAACCGGCCAATGACATTAACGGCCATCCTGATTTGGCCAATGTCAAATAAGTTGTTTCATCAGTGACGAATGGGTGAAATAAGCATGTTTGGTCGTAATCTGGCAGCTAATCTCTAAGCCCATCATAAGTAACGACTTCAATTCTAGGGAAAAGTTGGTCTTATCGATATGCAAAGTCAGAAAAAAAAACCATTATAAATTTATTGTGAACTACCAAGACCACTTGACAAAATTTGTTATTTTAAAGTAATTGAAGAGCAAGACAGCAGAAGAGATAGCATACAACTTAAAAGGCATTTTTACTTTAATGCACACTCAAAAAAAAAACTACGGCCCTGTGACCCGGTTGCTCTGGACACTGGTGATTCCGGTGTTTATGCGCCGTAAGGCAGCTAGTACCGGACGCAGCGGTCGAAGTCCCCTGGAGCCCGCGCGGCCTCTGAGGCCGTAAGACCGGGTAGGAGCCGAACGTAAGTTACGGGTTTCAAGATCGGAACCAAGCGCTTCCACGGCCGTTGGCAGTGAGGTGAGATTCAGTTTTCGGAAAATGGCGTCACCATCAGATTAAAATTGAGATGGCTCCGTGTAAATTCGCAGAAAATTATAATATTTTACGTCAATGTTATTCAGTGCGTGAATTTAAAGTTGCCGCCAGCCTTGAACATATTCGGGAGCGATCGAGCCACCACTCAGCGTTGTTTATTGAGGTTAGAATCTAGTCTAAATTGCTTGGTCATTGTTGGTCATTGCTCATTACGTGTGTTCGTTTTTCGTTTAACAATGGAGGTTTTCGATATATTTTCTTGATTCTGTGTGATGCACGATTGATTCTAAAGTTCTGTGTGATGCACGATTGATTCTAAAGTTCTGTGTGATAACGCTTGTCAAATACTTTCGGAAATGCGACGAGAGTTAAGTGAAAATTGTCAGTTTCGGTAGTACCTACGCACTGAGCTCATATTCTCTCCTCCTGTAAGTTCGTTTGCAATTCACTTATTTTCCCCCTACTAAGGGAAAGAACTTAAATCAAAGAAAAACAATCAATTACCTGCCACGCATCTCCCCACAGAGTAAATTACCGCCACACTAAAATACTGATAATGTAGGCACGAGAATGTCCGTTTATTGCAAACTGTATTCTGTCACTTTTGCTTTGTTCTGCCTGTGTAAGAGGATACAGTTTTTATTCCATTTCGATCTAATCTCTAACTCATAAATGTTTTCAACTGTGAGTAGTATTACAGTCTCTGACATCTCCCCTCTCTGTCACAAAAACAGCGGAAACTGTACCCTTAAAATGTAGAACCTATCCTGCGCAGATTATCTAATAGTGACAACAAGCTCGATCGTTGTTGCTGTGAATAATCTCTCTGATTCTATATCCCAATTCTAGGGAGCTCAGTGTTACTGTAATAGTGGTAAAATTTTGTGTGAATCGCGCTTCAGTTTGCTGAAGAGAAGATCTATAATTTTTACAAGTGTGACAATTTTCGGTGATATATTTCTTTGCTTATATTTTCTGGAAATTGTATCCGGTAGTTATTGCGGAGAGTTATATTTTGAAGTTTTGTCAACTTTTACTACTGATTTTACATCTTGAAATATTCTCAACCTCATTTTCAAGATTCTGAAGCTCTTCTAGTCGTAAGGAGTAAAAATCTGTAAGTACCTAGACCTACGCCAGTGGTTTTCCTTCGTTAATCATTTAGGTGATTTCCTACTTTGCATTCGTATTTTTTATCGAGGGATGAACCAGGTTTTGTTTTTGACAAATGCTGAATTCTCATTGAGTGAAAGTAATTACATTTATTGAGAACGGGCTGCCAAGTGATAAAAATGATTTTTCAATTTAGCTGCAATGAGTTTTAGCAATTTATCATACCTTGGGCAGTCTGTTCTACATTTAAAATAGGTAGCAAGAATTTTTGATCTATCTACATGTGTTCCTTTATGTCTCGGTGGTTGGACTATTTCCATAGCGTTGTACCTACCCAGTCAATTGGATATATATGGCTGATCAAACTGATTGTGAAAATGCCTAAAACATATTTGCACCCTGGCGTACATACATACCTACCCGTACAAATGTTCTTATCATCCCAAAAGCAGAAGTAATGTTATTGTCAACCTGATATGGGCTAAAATGAGAGGAATTATCTAATTTTTTGTTTGTTTTATCCATCAAACATTGACAAGTATTCCGCAGACTTAATAAGCTATAGTCAACTGCTTCAAATCTTTGAACTTTACTCATTTTTGTCCTAAAAATAAGTTCCAAGGTACCTATTTATTGTAAAGCTAAGAATCAGTTGAATACTTCTAAGCCAAAGTTCATTCTGCTATCTACAAATTAGAGTGCTTTATTTATTTCTAGGAAGGCTTGCAACATTAAAGTTAGGTTATTGAAAATTTCTCTTGATATCTCTACACGATGAATAAGCTAACATTCATATGCTGATTTTCTTTCTCAATACGCATCATCTCTTCTAATTTTCATCTCTTTTCTCAAATTGACTTGCTGAACTATCAGCCAAGGAGTTCAAATCTCTCTTGATATCTGAAACATGATCAACAAGCTAACGTTCATATGCTCTTTTTCTTTCTCAGTCAGTGAATTATCCATCACTTTCCTGAAACTAAATCAAGAGTGGCGGTAGCCACCCCCNGAGTAAGTTTTTGGACATATGTGGCCTTGGTGGACCCTGAGAATTTAAGAGAGGTTTTTGTCATCTCATAGTTACTTACTTAGTTTTATCAACCTTCTTGGAGGGGTGAAAGGGAATGTTTTTGGTTAATAAGATGTAACACGTCAATTTCCTCGACCGGATTTTTTGCCCGAAAATGTTTTTGAGGGTTTTTGTAGTTTTTGTTATGAACTATCAGCAAAGAAATATGGTTTTAAAAAGAAAGGAAGAAAAAGAAATCTTGTTCAAAAATTGACACAAAATAATTCATTCAAGGTTTAAAATTTTGCTGGAAAGTTTTTCTTTTCTATGTACTTTAAAGGTGAATTCTCAGCTGTAGTTCCGAAAAAGTCCACCACGTCGCGGACAGCGGCGGCGCGCAGTGCTCCGGCCGTCCAGCCCGTAAGTAGCGCCGAGAGCGCAAGCTGCCTATGCCGCTCGAGGCCGCGACTTACCGTTTTCATGTCCGTAGCACTCCGCGTCGTCCCCGCTCTTAGCACCCCGGCCGTCAGGCGCGCAAGCGAACGGTAGTGCCATATAGCCCATGCAGTCCGTGCTCCAGGTCCGCTGCTTCTGGCCTCCACGGCCGGAGCTTTTTTTGAGTGAAGGCTCCAGGGATCTTGCACAGCGACAATGGACGAGAATTCGTCAACCAAGCTCTCCGACATTTGAAAGAAATGTTGCCCTCTATGAAGCTTGTTAACGGAAAGTTACGCCATGGCCAGGAGGTGTGGAGCTTGAGGAAGAAGCAACCGAAGCTACAAGCGAATCAACAGAGGCAGTAACTGGAGCAATCCCAGTAATGGAGACCGTACTCGAACCAGTCACAGAAGAAGAGCCTCGTTCAATTCAGCAATTAGATGAAAATGTCTAAGACATTAAAGCCACGCGATCTGCTGTGAAAAAGAACCTAGAAATTCAAGCTGACCGAATGAAAAAAATTTCAACTGCTAAATTTACTCCTGTTCCTATTGGGAAGACAGTATCCGTCCCAGTGCCTGATGTCGATCGTGGAAAAACTTATTTTCGTGACATTTTAGCGGTGGTCATCGAAATCCAAGACAATTTTAATACGCTCGGTGCACCTCATGGAATTATGCGTGCTCTCTGTTCCTGCAATCAATTCACTCCATGGGAAGAAGACCTCGTCCCGATTTCCGACATTCTTCATAAAGAGAAGAGTCTCCGTCAAATTGTAACCAGCAGCTCAGTTACGGGAGGTCAAGGATTCCAGAGATGTAACTGCCGACAGAAATGTACAACGAAGACGTGTTCGTGCCGCGCTCAGAGAGACCTTCGTATCTCCAGGTGCCACAACAGCGAATCTTGCACCAACAAGTAAAATAAGACGTTACAAACTTTATTTTTCGCTTTTCCCGAACACTTTGCCCAAACGTGGTTGGCCGACGTCGATTTTAACGAGACTGGCTGGCCATTGTTGTCAATAGCCACGCGTTTCGGCCAAGGATATGATTGGCCGGTCAATAACGTCATCGCCCGGCCGAATTGGACAAAGTCGTCATTGGCCGGTTACCGGTATTAGCCTTAACAAATACATTTTTTAGGTGCTTTAGAAATACATGGTTCATTGGCACCTTAGAAAATAGGGATCAATAGTAGTACAAAAACTTAAAGAAAAGACAAGAGCAGAATAAATTAAAACTGGAGATTAGTTGTTTAAAAAAAGGAGG